TATGCTCCCCCTCAACCGAGTACCCCAAGCGCAAAGTACTCGACCCGCCTCCTAGCCAATCACTAGGCTAGCTCGAGCCCAATCCGGCTCTGATACCACTGTTAGGCAGGTCCAGGGGGAAGCCCGTGGCGGAGGCCACCACTAATGAGCTAAGGCTACACCAACCGTAGCAAGTGAATCCGACACCATGTCTCAACCCAAAACCTTAAGGCATTAGGTTCATGGGTCATTTCACTTATATACTCTTCACTTAGCTCATTACCAACCAATGTGGGACTCATCACACTTGAAATCCCAACACATAGTTCATTAATTTATTTATTTTTATGTATTTCTCGTATAAAAGATATAATATTATCATATTGATAAGTAATATAAGAAGATACAAATCCTTCGCAAAGTTTTCTGTTTTTTTTTTTTTGGTAGACTTCGCAAAGTTTTCTTTTAACATAATATCAACTTTCAATAATGTTTAATTTTTCGAATTATATACTAATATGATAATGTTATATTATGAGAGGGAAAGTTATATGACTTATAATTATTTGTGAATGGTCCACTTAATTTACTTTTATTTCTTTCTTTTTTGTAATATAATATTTTCATTTTAATGAGAAACATATATAAGAAGTTATAAATCCTTTAAAAATATTATTTCTAATATAGTATTTTTTTTATATAACCAAGTAATAAACGTAATCCTTATTATGTCATAAATAAAAAATTAAATCTATATGCAAAATAAAATAGGATTGTACATTTCTTCTAAGTCCAAATAACAATTATATAGATAGAGAAGTGTGTCAAATATATAATTTATTTATAAATATTTAAATTCAAAGTTTTAAAAATATCAATTTTTTAGATAAAATTTTAAATTTATGTAATCAAAGAGTCATAAATTTAATCTCTATCACTCTTTTTACCAAAAAGTAAAATAAAATCTCTATCACTCATATTATGTATATTTTAAAAAAAAATAAAAAGTGAATTTAACCACAAATGAGTGTCTACTATTGATGCTTAAAAGCCATTCTGTAGACTACTTTTTTTCTTTTTTTTTTTGTAATAAGTAGACTACTTTCTTTGGGTATCTCATTCATACTTTGATGAATTCAGTAACCAAAACCACTGTCAATATCTTTGTCATGTGTCAAGGTTAAGAGTGGATTCCGTGTTATTTAATATTCTCTAACACATTATTTAATTTGACCATATCATTGTTACGAATCTTGAGGTCACGTACCATATCAAAAGTTAGCTCAAGTGTAGGACTGTGGGAGTGTTCAAGGCCTTATAAAGACTACATCAGTTGTATAGATAACCAATGTTGGACTCATAACATTATTATCCATTTTCTCTTTTGGCAGCTCCACTCACCAATCAATATTTAATACAACACCAATTGAGAGGCTTTACACCTTAACGAAGCCTATAGATAACTCGTTGTGTGATCTCAACTCTCACTATAAGCATACCCTTACCTTCACAGTCTTTACCTTCAATCTCTTCCAAACCAAAACCTACAGAAGAAGGGCGTCACATCAAATTCCACCTCGAATAAAATAAAGAAAAAAAAAATGTATAACATGTCAAGTGAAATTATTGTTGGACAACAATGTGCAATTATATAAATGATCGATTAAACTTAACTATTATCATTTTTAATAGTGGTTATAGAGCTGTGGTTATGTCATAGGAGTTTGTTTTGTTTCATCCTATTTTTCACTTTTTATTAAAGTTGAATAGGACCTAATGCACTACCATGTGATAGAATCTAGTTAAATGTAAGGGCCCCAATCAATAATGAAAGTGGTTGATAATAGATTAATAATAGTATTTTTACAAGATTAGGGCCCTTCGTTCTTTTCGGTTGTGATATTTTGTTGAGAGATTACCGATAATGCAATTATTAAGATGTGCCTACCAATTACCATAATATTTTGGGTAGATTACAATGGATTTTCTCTCTTCTTCCCCCTAATACAAGGTACTGCAAAAAATGTTATTTCATTGTTAGATTCTAATGGGCCCTCCAACTACGACATCCTAACAAAAAATATGGACCATTTTCTTTAACTTCTTAGCACGTAACACAAACTGTCAAAAAATGTGACAAATACATTACCAATATACCTAATCCCTGTCTAATCTTTTGAGAAGGTACCATTTTACAATACTTGAATTCATCTTGGTGAATAGTAATAGCTAGATAATGAGTCACTGCATCATAATAATTGGGGACCTTTTGTACATTATAATTCAATTTTTTTAAAAAATACCAAAACAATTTAAAACTAGAAAGAATTAATTACCAAGTAAATTATGCATTGGAAGGGTATGCGTTTAGCCACAGTCATTTGTGTACGCTTTAATCGTGGCCAATGTTTCTTTAAGGGAATTAGGTAATTTGATACATTGACCAATTACGCATGAGGTGTGTGGTGCGTGATTGCTTTAACCACGCTTAAATCATGACATAATAATCATAGATAATTAAGATTATGAGAAATGGATCCTCTCATGTGCCAAAAAAACATAATATGGGAAGATCATGTGGGAAGATCACAATCATACAAAGGTAAATCAACGGTTATGATTTTGTAATTACCTATTTTATCATTTTTTCTCTCTCCTCTTTTTTTACCATCCACTTTTGTATGGTTATGATTCCTCACATGACATGATCATATGAATTTTCACATGAGAAGATCCAGATCCAAGATTATGCTACTTGACAATTACTGCTTCGATCATTGCTAAATTGTGTACCAATCATGTGTGCAACCTAAACGTGCACCCTTCCAATGTGCTTTTTCCTGCATTATTTTGATAATTTTTTTTCAGTTTTTGAATTGTTTTGATTTTTTTTTTAAAATAACATTCAAATGTTACAAAGCCTAATAATTGGGAATCATATTTTCAATACTCCTATACTAGGTTTTCTTTTATTAAAAAAAAAAATAAATTCAAATGGCATTAATAATAAAAGAATGAGAAAAATAAATGAAATTAGATAATTTATTATTTTTTCATCTTTAACAAGTAATATACAAGATATTTTCGTAATTGGTGAAAAGCATTGTGGATAGTACCATAGCTCAACAGATCATGTTTAATCTGCGTAAAAATTGCTGCACAGACACTTTTGTTGTTTAACCTTTTCGGGTAATCACTGACTTCTCTTCCTTTTTACCCATTTTTCCGTTTCTGTTTTTGAACTTTGAAGGTCCACACCATGCCCCAGCAAACTCCATTCTTTATAAGCTATGTAGCCTCTACAAGACCACAAGTACATTCATCATTATCTATTAATAGAAAATAAATTTATGATCAAGGACAAAGGAAGGTGCACTGTACTGCTGAAAATCCAACGGCAGATATTGGCTAAAGAGGAATTTTTCGCTCAAATGATATATCCCTCTTTTCTTGTGGAAATAAAATGTATTAAGTTGTATATAATTATTATATATAATTTATCAACCATTGGTTTAAGGAAATATACTTTTTCATATTGCATAAAATAATTTTATTTCATAGTTGGTGGGATATACGAAGGATGTTGAAATATATAGTCCTACATTGGTTGTATAAGTAACTAATGTGGAGTTTATAAGGCCTTCGGCACTCCCACCCTTTGAGCTAGCTTTTGGGGTGGTGTATCCCAAGGTTCTTTATATGGTATCAGAGCCTCGCCGTCCCTCACACTTTCTCTTGTGGAGTTTCTTAGCACAGTTAGGCTGAGCCTGTTACATTGTCCACTCTTCAAGCCCAATGGGCTCTTGTGTGAGGGGGCATGTTGAAATATATAGTCCCACATTGGTTGTATAAGCAACTAATGTGGAGTTTATAAGGTCTTGGGTACTCCCACCCTTTGATCTAGCTTTTGGGGTAGTGTATCCCAAGGTTCTTTACAAAGGAGAAGAGAAAGAAAGTAAATGGGTTAGACCTATTTTTTTATGCAATATTAAGAAATTATATTCTTTTAGTTCAAAATGCTAATAAATTTGTTTCTCGTAATAGGATATTATATTTATATTTTTTTTTTCATATTTGCTCTATCTATTCTTCAAAATTCTTAGACCACAATTTTGTAAGGAGAGAAAAATATTGAAGTTCAGTTTAGATTGTAATATAAAGTTATTGAAGAGGAGTCGTTTCTCTCGAACACTAAAAATAGAGAATTGTAGTCTACCATTGGCATTCACTTTGCCAACAAATGTAGGCCAACCATTGGCATTTGAACCCAAACTTCAAACCCAAACAATGAGGCTTTGAACCCAAACTTTGTCTCAAGTCTCAACCAGTAAGGGGTCTATTTGTGGACACAGCAACAATCATTATAATAACAGAAATCATAAAGTTTAATTTTCTATGGTATCTGCTTATTTCATGACACATGCAACATTTGGCGTTACGGAGCTCCCTGGTGGTGATAATAGAAGAGAGCCTTTCTGGTTAAATTATTGGATTTTTTAAATTCATATCTAACTACTTGATTTCGCAGACTCCAACTCAATTTTTTTTTTCAGTCCATTAAGCTTTTCTCTCAAATTGATCACAATTCAGGGAGACACTTTGAACATCATCAGCATCACTCATTCTTGGTGTACAAAGCAGAGAAGAATGCATCTTGTTTATTTCTTAATAAGCAAAAATATATTCCAACCATTCTAAAAAATATAGCTAAAAATTTAGAATTTTAATAAGTTTCCCTCTATTGTAACCTTGTTTGTGTTCTCCAATACCTATCATTTTCAATTTATTAAGAGATTAGTTCAGATACTCAGTAACATGGTTTGCAGCTGTGTTGTGGATCATTGGTTTGTTTAGAAGCATAAACTAATTCTGATTTTATAAGTGCACTGATACACTAGATGTGTTTTCACAGGATTTTGTTTCTTTCATTCCATATATATCTACATGCATCAGAGAAAGAGCTCAAACAAGTTCTTACACGCAAGTAAACAACCTTTTTTCTTTTCTTTTTTTTGGATACATGTAAACAACCTTTTACATTTGCATAGATTGAAATATTTTACAACTTTTTCACAATGTTGTACAATATTCAGATGTGTCCGTATGGTTTACAAATATTGACGGACATCATAAAGCAAGGCAATAAATAAACACTCAAAAGAGATAACCAAAAAAGAAAAAAAAAGAACAGAGAGAGAGAGAGAGAGAGAGAGATTCTGAATCCATGGAGCTTCAACGAGGATAACATCCACCTCTTTCTGGATTCTGAAACCCAATGTTCTCAATAGCACCAACCGTCTTGAACATCCTCCTCTTGTGTATCTCCTCTATCAGTGATCTTTGTAGTTGGTGTCTCCTCAAATCCGCATAGGAATGAATCCTTGTCAGACTTTGGCATCCATGCATTGGCCTATGATACCTGCTAGAATCCATTCTCATGTTGCAAAACTGTTTGGTGGAATCAGCCTCCACCATCTCTTCTCTAGGACAGAATCTTGTGCACTTGTTGTTGGCCTTTGGCGTGTAGCAAATTGGTTCTGTTCCAACTAGTATAGTTGGACTATGCTCATTTTCATTGCCTGAGTCACAGCAATGAAAATTGAAACACTTCAAGGAGTTCATTGAGCTTTGAGAGCTCGCATCATCATTCATAAATAGATCATCTGTAAACAGTTCATTGGAGTCATTGAAATCTAATTCTTTAACTGCACTGAAAATAACAGTAATAACTCTTTAAAGGAACACTTCAACTTTGTCTAATGAATAAAGTTGAAGTGTTTTGGAAACTCACATAAGTTGAAAGAAGAGTAGAAGTAAGTACCTTGAGGCCAATCTTGAGCAAAAGGGTAATGGTTCCCATAAAGTTGGGTATTGTTCTTGTTGGAAGAACCAAACACTGGGAGAGAACCGTGAGAGGAAGAGAGAGAAGATGATGAGAAGAAAGGATGGTGGTTACTTATATCATCCTCTTCTTCATAGCTAAAACTATGTTGTTGTTGATACTTAGAAGTGCTCCAATCCCTCCATGTTGGAACTAAAGCTGATATCTCCTCTTCTATCATTTCAGCAATCTCCAATGGTTCCCAGTCACTAATTTCCAGTTCTTTAACCATCTCAATTGCCACTTCAATGGCAGTGTCGTTTATGGTGTCAAATGGAAAGTATATATTTCTTGTGTTTCCTGTATTCGAAATGTAATTTTGAAGTAACCCACTTTATATGTAGTAAGACTTATAAAATGGTTGTATCCTGTGGTGAAACTATGCATACATACCAGTTTTGTTAGAAATCTGTACTTTAAGGAAAACTGTGTCATCCTCTTCATTTATTGACCCAGTGATTGTCATGTGTGTACTCTTTGTTTGGTCAATCATTGAAGGTTCCTCTTTGGCAACTGCTGAAGTGAAATTGAGTGTTTGAGTATGTTTTCTGGGTAATGTTGGGCTAGGCAATGGTGAGTCAAGTTGATCCATGGCTAAAAATGGATCCAGTAAGAGCTCCTTTGCTGGCAACCTCTCTGAGACATTTGCCAAACATTTTCCCACAAACCTCTGGGCTTCCAAATCGTGGATTCTGTAAAATGCATCTGGTAGCTTCCCCTGTTAAATCAAATCAACAAAAGTATGTGAAATTTTTTGGTATTGCGGTTACATAGTGGACAAGACTCTTTGACTTGCAAGAGCAAAGGTAAGGGTCGAGCGTTATCCTTGCAATGCAAAGAGACTGTTTTCCGAACTAAAACAGTGATCTTCTGGTCACAAGGAGCAACCTTATTTTGCTACTTCGAGACTCGCCCTCAATGCATTAGTTCATCCATGCTTTTATTGTTAATGTCGTATGAATCCTAGTTATTTATAATTTTAATAAAGGACTATGTACTACTAGAGTATTGAAAATTTACTCTAGCTTCTAGAAACTTCTTGATTAATTATATGTGTAATGAATTTTGATCCTAATGGGGTTAAAAAAAATAGAGATTAGTAAAGTATGTCCAATTAAACGTACTGAAGTAACTTTCTTGTAAATTTGAGCAGGGTTGGAGCACTCGCTGTATGGGAACTCAGAAGTAAACAACTCTATCATACACATCCCAAAAGAGTATATGTCTACCAGCTCATTGTATTCCTCTTCATACAACTCTGGTGCCATAAATTCTGGCGTACCTGATGGTTCATACCAAACACAAAATTTCAGTTTTATAAACACATGGTTAAGTTTTAGATTACTCATTATTGATAATTTAAGTACCAAGTAAAAAGAGCAAGAGGAATTGCCTATGACACTGTGGGCATGTTGAGAGCCACTTAGAATGGCTGCAAGTCCTAAGTCACCAATCTTGACCTGCCCCAAATGGCCATTGACAAAGATGTTATCACCCTTGAGGTCTCTATGTATCACAGGTGGATCATGGCTATGCAAATACTCCAAACCACTTAGAATCTGGCGAGCCCAGTTCTTCACTGCTCTGATATCTACTCTAGGATACTTCCTTCTATACCTATATTATATACATGCATATAATATCATCACATAAATAAGAGTCCCTATAAAAAAATGGTTTATAAGTTGAAGGGTTCAAAGATATAATAATAATAATAATAAGGGATGGTTGATTACTCTCGTAGGGTGCCAGAGGTGAACAATTCAGTGATGAAGTTGAAGGTTCTATGATTGACATCGATCCACGAATCATGGAAGGTCATGATAGAGTCATGACTCAAGTTCTTGAGGAGATGAACCTCTGAATAAAGGCGATGAAGTTGGTCAGGTGAATGAAAAACGTCACCAAGCTTGACTTGGTTCCAAGCAACTTCCATTCCTTGGACCTCATCAAAGGCCCTATACACTACCTTCATGGCTCCTTTGCCTAGAATATCCCTGAACTACAAGCACCAATAATCACAATAATACAGATTAATTAGTAATTTAATATTAACACCAACTAGGCAACTAGATTAGATGGACAACAAAAAAAGCAGATTAATATATAGCAGTTCACATTAATAGTCAAACTTAACTGTGGATGTCATATATCAATAATAACTATCAATCATTCAATTTGGTTCTTGAGTTACCCTTTGGTGTACTAGAGAGTTAACCTTGTGTGAGCAACAAGGGGGGGGTGTGCTTCATGCAACAAGGCAAGACTTGGTAAAGGGATAAAACACAAAATAAGGTGCTTAATTTCTTTATAGTAAATTGACTCAATCATAGACGGCAGCTGAAAAATTAATAAAATAAGAAAAATAACTTCCACAGGCAGAACAATTTTGTGCATATTAACAAGCTTCCCTATGCAAAAGAAAGGCCTTTCATTTTTAATTTGACTTATAGCAATCAGTTTTAATTCTCAATTCAAATTGAACACAAAAGCACAACTTCATTAATTTGTTAATTCATATCACTCCAGCTGAATCACCTTATGCTGCATATCATTACCAAATAATCAGAAAGTTCATGATCCATTCACAAACCAGGATGACTAGAATCAATGATCAGAAATACTTACACGTCCATACCGACCAGATGGGTCAGTTTCAACATATCCAAGTTGAGCTTTGCCTCCTAGTCTTCCCTTGTACATGGCTCTAGCTGTAGCTTGATCACTAACAATTATTCTGACATAACAGGTGTACTTGTATTATAGACTTAAGGGTATTGAAAATTCAGCAACAAAAAAAGCTATTGTATATAATCTCAATCTAAAGCTTAAGAATAAACTCAAGGTGGGTGCTAGATAATCCGAGGCTTCCACTCATGATTCTCATAGGAGAACACACCAACCAATAGCCATCTACAGAACCTTGAGTAGTCAAAACTATGCATAATCCATGCCATTTCAACAACTCCAAGTGAAAGCTCGTAGAAGTAATTGGCAACCATTTGGAGACAATAGTCTTAAGATGAAGAACTCAAACCAGAAAGAGATGACTCTTTTAAGATATTTTTGTGGAAGATATAGTAGGACAAAAATAAAAAAACTGTTTTGTGTAGATTAGAGAAGAATAATAATGATGTGCATGTCCCACAATAAGGCCACACCACAGATTGTGAGTTCAGAGCCAAAAGGTTAATGAGAGCAGTGGTTGAAGATACTTGTGGACCAAGAGATTTTAGCAAGATTGAAAAGCCTCTCACAAAAAGAAAAGACATAGGGTGGAAGCTGGACTTTTATATTTGAAGAATCTATGGCCATGCTTTGATAAAAACATTTGTGTATGTGAGAAATCACTGATCACATAAATCAGATTAGGAGGAGTAAGAAAAAAAATTGAAGGAGAAAAGGGTTGGGAGATTTTGATTATGGAAAGAAAAGAACAAGAAGGACTCTCAAGCTTTAAGGATTGGCTTTTGTGGATTGTGGAATGTGGAAAAAGAGTGGTGGTTTGTGTATTATAGAAGAGTTCTAAGCTGGAAATAGATGTTATATTGTATATAGTAACGTTTATGTAATTATATACCAAATACGTGTGTGAGTATGACGTAGATTCATTTAATAATAATATACACCGGTTGAATTCAGTTATATTATGTGTAAGTCACCTATATTATTTAATAACATTTTTATGAGTGTTAAATTTTATTAATACAACGTTAAATTGAAATTTCATATGGAATAAAGATCAGGGTTTACACAATTCATATAATTCTATAAAAACACAGATAAACCTTTTTTTTGAAAACCTTGTACTTTTTTCCCTTTTTAAACCACGCTATATTTAAAATCACCAATGTCGTAACTATAATTGTGTGAAACTAATACTATGCTTAACATCATGTCCTTTCTTTATTAGAGCCAACTGAGTGGTCCTTAATCATTAATTTCATGCATAAGTTATTTTTATTTAAACGGGGGTAGGGCGCTTAAGCCTCCTTCCTTGGCGCTTAAGCCCCATGCTACTCAAAATTTTTGTTCGACGAGTGTAACACCACGTGTGCACTTGGCGTATTAGGCATACATAAGGTAATGGTGCAACTAAATAAATGCGGAAGCTAATTTTTTCTTTTCAATTATGCTATCATCATTAATTAACCAAGTTGATTACTTATTCCTTTTTCAAAATATAGCCTGTATGTAAATTGCAACTAAAGCTAACTGAATATCCTCATAAAATAAATAGTATTTAGTCACAGAACTACAACCGTAGACCAGACAATAATCCTGATACATTATACAACACAAATAAAATCAGACATAACTGATGTCAATGTGGCATAGACAACCCCCATGATCACCAAATAAGGCAACAAAGCCCATTCAATGTCTCAAAGCAAATAACCATATACTGATATAAAAACATAACAATATCCAACATATCAGCACAACAACATGCATATCAACTCAACTCCGGCCTCCTGCCGCTAAAGGTGTCTACCCCAAAGGTACCTGTACCTGAAAATATGCCCCAACACGGGATGAGATCTCTAAAAAGAAATCTCAGTAAGACAAGGGATCCTCAATGATCTCTCCACCCTAATCTCACTTACATATGCACTATAAGTTCCAAAATAGTATAATAAAATAATTTCCAAAACTTGTGCAATGCAGCATATATCCATGTCACGTGTGTAATATCCTACTGGCCAGAGAATAAAAATGTAGGGATTACATACGTCTACAACCTACAGTACAAGGAATACCGCTTGTACCTCACCCACGGAGTTGCCATCTTGTATGTCTCCACATACTCAAGATTACCGTCTAGGTGGTACACCACATACATATCATATGACACTTGCACTCAATAAAACAGCTCAATAGCATTTCAGTAATCATCACATAATTTTATAAAAACACATCATGCATATAAACTATCCCTCCATGAGGTTTGGTGGAACCAATAATGGGCAAAACCGAGGATACGAAAGCTTACCTCGCAAGCTAACAATCCAAGCTCAAGAGTCCACACCAGCCCACGGTCACCATACAGCACACTCACAGTCTGTTTATGACAGAAACATCATCAACATTCATCATCTAGAATTTTATTACATAACAACAACATTTCCTCTTTCGTTTCATGTCATTAGGCTTCTCCCAAAGCCATAAGCCTTTAATTTAAGTTATTCTGACTTAGTTAACTTAATACAGAGGTTCATATTATCCAACATAGGGTCTTTAAACCAAACCCACTCTTCTGTTTGGACAGAACAGGTCCGTCCACGAAATTTCCCAAAATATCCTGATATTTCACGGGGTCATATCCGGATATCACAAATCCCATATCCGGATATTTCGCGACAGAATGCTGTTTCTGCATTTTGCGAAGATATCCATCCAAGGTTCCATTTTTAATACTTCTACACGTCCAAGAATCCATTTTTAGACATATTTAGACCAGTGCTCATGTTAATTACTTGATCATCTCATTTAACATGCCAAAACTTAACCTTTAATATAGAAAACTCATGAATAAAGGTTGTGGTTCATACCAATGGCTCAAAACAGAGCAAAAGAGTGGTCTTGGAGCTTCCAATGCAGCTCAATGATTCTGACCACACAAGACTACGAAAATGGCTATCAAGCTTGGTCTTTTCTTCTCAAAGCTCACTACTCGGAGCTTCAACAACTAATGAAATGGTTTCTACACCACTGAAACTCAGAGGCAGTCCACTATTCACCAACTCAGAAGGTCAATTCAGAAATGGAGTATCTTTTTACCTCCCAAGGCTAGTCCACCCTCAACTATGGAGTTTTAATAAAGAAATCAAGAGGAAATGTGACCTCTTGAAGGTTTTCTATGGAGAGAAAGGTAGTGGCAAGTGAGAAACTTCAAACTCAGAAATGGAGGCACGTAGAATATGTGTTTCTGACCTAGAATTTTGTGCATGCCTATATATAGTCTTATTAAGTTTTAAACCCACTGTATTAGCACTAATAGCTTCGCTAATCATTTTAATCTCAAATTTTATATTCTGAACCTAGCCATTTTTTTTAGATTTATCATATTTTTATTTTGATTTTTGCAGCACTTTTTCGATACACATTTTTACGTAGTCGGTATCAGTCCTGGCGTCGGTTCTCATTATTTCGACTCCAAACTTGGTAAACTAGACCTAGATATTATTCTAGGAATATTCATATACTTATTATAATTTTTCGCGATACTTCTTTGGGACACTCTTATACCGTGAAGCAGAACTGGTATCTGCACTTTTTGTCAGAAAAGCGACTTTCAGCATTATTAAGCCCTTTTGATAATTATTCTAACCTTACCATATTTATTCAAGGTTAATTATGGAATTATTTTCTAAACTCTTAATTAATCATTTAAATTCCCAATTTAACGGTGCAGGTTCTTACAACGAGCGAACTCAAGCCCCCTTCCAAAGCGCTTAAGCCCCCTGTGGCAGAGAATTTCTCCATGCATAGGTCTTCCAAGATGCTTAATCCCTCTTTTTGGGCGCTTAAGTTCCCTCCACCTGTGCAAAACACTAAATTTCTCTGTTTTCATGTATTTCTCTTGGGGACTTCCTCTCGAATACCATTACACTGAACAAACTTTACATACTCATTATGCAATCCCAAAATGGTAAAAGCACAATATATCATTACATTAATGTTTCAATGAATCATATACAATAATGTTCTTCAAAATAAATACATACCAAGGAACTTAGTATACCATATGATCAAAGTCCCGATCTAGATACATAAGGGCTATATGTAACACCCCATGTGCACCCGGTGTATTGAACATACATATGGTAATAGCTCAACTAAATAAATGCGGAAGCTAACTTTTTCTTTCCAATTATGAACCATTCATTATTAACCAAGTGAATTTACTCATTCTTTTTCCAAATATCGTCGGTATGTAAATTGCAATAAATAACTACACTGAATATCCTCATATCATAAATAAGTATCAGTCACGGAACTACAACACGTAGACCGGACAATATCTGATGCCAAATACACATCAAGTCTGAACAAATACAGCTTATACCAATGTGGCATGGACAACCCCCATGCTCACCAAATAAAATAACATATTCATAGCATGTCTCCAATACAATAACCATCAAATAACAAGATATAACAGAATCCAAATATGACAATAAGCAGCATGCATAAATCAGCTCAACTCCAACCTCCTGCCGCCAGAGGTCTCAACCTCGGAGGTACCTGTACCTGAAAATGTTCCCCACACGGGGTGAGATCTCTAAAAAGAAATCTTAGTAAGACAAGGGGTCCTCAAGGATCTCTCCACACCAAGCTCACTTGCATGTACCATATAAGTTCTAAAATGATAACATCAGTATAATATAAAAATCTGTGCAATGCAGCATATATCCATGTCATGTGTGTATGCATCTTACTAGCCAGAGAATAAAAGGTAGGAATTATGTACGTCTACAACCCACAGTACTCTTGTACCTCACCCACGAGGTTACCATCTTTTATGTCTCCACATACTCAGGGATTACCGTCTAGGTGGAATACCCCACATACATATCATATGGCAATGCACTCATAAAACAGCTCAACAGCGTATCAAATATTCTTCATATAAATTCAGAAAAGACATAATGCATACAAACCATCCCTCCATGAGGTATAGTGAAACTAACAATGGGAAAAATTGAGGACACAAAAGCTAACCTCATAAGCTAACAGTCCCAACTAAGAGTCCACACTAGTCCACGGTCACCAAACAACACAATCACATTCTGTTTATACCAGAAACATTATCAATATACATCATCTAGAAGTTCATAACATTACGATAACGTTTCCTTTTTCATTTAATTCCCTTAGGTTTCTCTCAAAGCCATAAGCCTTCAATCTAAGTGGCTCTGACTTAGTTAACTTATTACAGAGGTTCATATTAATCAATTAAGGGACCAGAGACTCAATCTACACTTCTGTTTGGACAGATCAGCTTACAACACAAAATTCCCAGAATATCCGAATATTCCTCGGGGGCATATCTGGATATCCATATCCGGATATCACAGTGTCAATATCCGTATATGCATTTTTGCGAAGATATCCATCCAAGGTTCTTTTTTTAATGGTTTTAATCGTTCAAGCATGCATTTTTAGACACCATTAGACTAGTGTTCATGTTAGTTACTTAGACACATCATTTTACATGCTAAGACTTAATCTTTAACATAGAAATTCATGAACAAAGGTTGGGAATATATACCAAGCTCTCAAAATAGAGGAAAATAATGATCTTGGAGCTCTCTACTCAGCTCTATGGTTTTGCTACCACAAGGCCACAAAAATACTTTACAAGCTTAGTCCTTTTTCCATAAAAATAGCTTCTTGAAGCTTCAAGTGTCAAGGAAATGGCTCCCACTCTACCAAACAGTAAAGTCAGTCCCTAAGCCTCCCCA